CACTGGACGTGTGGAAAGGATGACGCAGTTATTCGGCAATTAAACCACCGTTTATTACTGAACAGCACAGGTTACTGTTGGCTGTAATCACGCCAAAACAACCAACAACTTAGCTGTAACTCCATCTGTGCACTCCTGCTCTCTCCTCCAGCTCGCTCATACACAAGAGCACACACACTCACACAGCCCTCCTCATCCCCGTCACACTCGCACCCCGCACCTCATTCAATCCCAAACATGCCATTAACTCACAGAACACTGACATTATAACAGAACATTTACTGCAGGGTCGCTACAATACATAGCCTATAACATTATCAAATCATAGCTTTAAAAAAACAAACAAAAAAAAAACGTCATATCTGGGCCCAGTCTGGGCCCGTCAGAGGGAGGGGGGCTCCTGGCCCGACCCGGCTTGGGCCCGCGGGCCAGGTCGGGCTGGGCTCGGGCAGAGAATCAAAGCTCTAGGACGGATTAAATCTGAATCAATTTGATACCTTTGCTAGCTAAAGTCAATGGTGCATTCATGTGCCCCTCGGATGATTGTTATTCTGATTTCAGCGTGTTCATGAGCTCTAAGTTGTAGTAAAGGCGTGTTTTTGGTTTTTTTGCTCAGAGCAAACAATACTTCGATGACGAAGAGCAAAGGAAACAGATACAGTGAGATGTGAAATACAATCGGGAACTCATTTTGGAGATTCTTCCCACAGCACATGAATGCAGCACAAGGCTGCCAAAGAAACTGGGACGTCTTTCCCCTCAAAAAACGACAGATTGATGGTCAGTGACATTACTGTAACATCATATGGAAATTACATAGCTTCCTTACATACAAGTGGGATGCTGAATCAGTGCACTGAAATAAATATCTTGATAAAACATAAGTTACACATGATGACTGGTAATTCACTGAAGGTTTCATTGAGGTTTTGTGGGCGGGCAGGATTGCTGTCGAACATGCACATACTTTAACAGAGTGTCACAGAGAAAATGACGTTATATTTTGCAAGAAGTATCAAAACTTGAAAGGTATGATTGCATTTACTTCTAACTCAAAGAAACCGATAGTGAAAAGGATTAGCCCGTCCATTACTTCAAAATGTAGGCCTGAACTCCCTTTTTTCAAACAAGTGCATTGTAGTGTATCCCAATATAATGGTTGTACTGCTGTTCTTAACACACATGTACATCAGCAATTGAGATTATACCAATAAAATGGTACTTGTCATCTCCTGTATTTTGTTATTCAAGTAAATCTTTATTTGTCTGTGCTCTCATGCATATGGTGTGTGATTATTCCATGTCATGCCTCCACCAACAAATATGCACCGCTGTGCCGCACATACCTGTTAGTTAAGGTCTACAACTATTCACAACACTAAGTGATGACCATTTATCACTCCTTTCCTTGACATGACCTCCATTACTCCCCATCTCCTCCTCAGTCTAATGGCTTCCGCAGTATGCCCATAATGCATCAGCCAATAAGGCTGCCAATGTGCAGCAACACACCACCTCCGGTCATTATGGCACGACCTGATTGTTCATTTGTTGCATTTTCCAACAGAGCTGTACTTAAGTATATTCTTAAGAAAAAGAATTATGGCGGTAAGAATGATTATGGGTGTGAGTGGTCGAGGCAGAAGGTTCATCACTGTAACACAGGAAATGTGCCTGATTGAAAACAAAAAACCTCCAACAAATAATGGTCCTAGGTGCTTTGTAAAATACTGAGCACTAGGTAAAGATTTTGAAAAGAATATATGACAACACTGGCACATTTTGAGTGTTGATCCACAATGTAAAGGATAGTTTGGATCTTTTGAAGTGGGGTTGCATGAGGTACTCAACCATAGTCAGTGTATTACCTACAGTAGATGGCAGTCAACACGCCTCCTTTTCGGTCCTGCTGTCCAGCACAATGTATTTTAGCCCATTAAAAAAAGTCCTACCTAAAAAAAAGTCTATAACCCTTTAAGTGTATTGAGAATATTTTCGCTGCTTTCTCTGATGGGGAAGCAGTTAATGGCTTCACTTTCCTATCTATGCTCTCATTAAAACCACCAGACTCCATTAACCATAACAGTAGTTTTAGATCAGTTACGCCCCGTTTCAACCAAGCAGTACGGTACATTTCACTTCAGTTCGGTACTGTTAAGTTTGGTACTTTTTTCTGTTTCCACTGTAAAAGGTTGTGGATGGTAAGAACTGTTCCATATCGTCCCTATTTTTGGTCCCCCCTCTGTTGGGGTACCTAGCACACAGATCTGGTACTAAAAGGTGGAGCTGTGAACCCTGCAGTCTGTTGATTGGTCAATAGAGGACGGTCACTCTGCTCAGGGCATGTGTGGCTCGTGTAACCACTGTTCATACTGTGGAGAGTTTTACATATATTAATAAACTCTAACTATAAAATGAAAGGATGTTTTGCTGCCTCTCACAGCAGCTGGAGTCTGAGAAAAAAATAATTGAATTCACTGGAACTTTTAAGGTAGAACGCTTACTTGTAATGTTACTCAAGACATGAGGTGACTATGTGAATCCATCAACACACCTTAAATTTCAATGTGAAAACTTTGACCATTAATGGAGCGACGCCTGCAAGCTAGTTCAGGCAGTCAACTCGAGCTGCACTGATTCATACACACACGTCATACGTCACTCCCCATGTGTCATCTACAAACACACCCTCCAAATTTGGCGGTCTATTTAAGCCGTTAATCCTGCCTGCTTCTCCAAAAAGGGGGCATACCGGCCGGCATCTACTGTATGTGATACACTGACTATGATTAAGTACATCATCATCATTAAGTACCCTGCTTCACAATATCTGAACAATCCCTTCAAAAATGAATTTGATGATCAATCTAAAGTAGTGTACAAATGTTCCCTGAAAGAAATGCTGCCAAAATCTGTTCTCATCTGTGCTAAAAACACAATGTTCCTTCATCCTTCACTAGGGAATTATCCACGTGGTTTATGCACTCAGTGCAATTTTACATATCAGCGATCCACATACACCCACCCGCTAACAGAAAAGACAATGAAAGTAAGAGGCACTATATTTGTAATGTAGTCTGTTTTATCAAATACCCAAATGTGGTTTAGTATATGTAGGAAACACACATACAGCACCATAAACCAGGACAGCAGAGCACAGGAGCTGCATCCAGACCCAGGATCAGTGTAACCTGGTGGCAGTGCTTTTCAGAGAGGCTAATCAACCAATGGCCTCGCTCAGATACACTGGTTCAAGCATGTTAGACCTCAGAGAAGAGAAGGTGATTTAATTACCCTCTTACTCCAAGGAAAAAGTTTTCATATTCTCACTCTCCAGACTCTTTCACCTAGAGATCGTTATCAAAAGTATAAGTTTTCTCCAAATATAAATAATGGTGGTTGTCCCATGATGGCTCTTCCGTGTGTATATAAATATATATATTTGTATAGATATTTTCTGCTGTTTGTAAAAATGAAAAATACAATACATCAAGTGTGTCTTCTTTCTCTTAATCAGATTTCATTAGACTTGTTTAGAAAGGTGTTTAAATCAAATTTCTGTACATGTATTCAACATTTCTTCCTCTTTTTTTGCCTATAACTTGAAACGATAGATTTTCGAACACAGGTGATGTAGAGCGATACGGGATAATGAATTTGATATACTGTTTTCATAAATCAAGATACATTAAGATGTATGTTTGATGCTTTAAAGTATAGATCTTGTATTACTGTTTTTTTCTCAAGGTCCTTTTTTCTATTGAATTCCATCCATCCATCCATCCATTTGTAACCACTTATCCAAAGCTGGGTCACAGGCTCAGGCTGAGGAAGGTACTCCAGACGTCCCTCTCCCCAACAACGCTTTCCAGCTCCTCCTGAGGGATTCCGAGGTGTTCCCAAGCCAGACGAGATATGTAATCCCTCCAGTGTGTTCTGGGTCTGCCCCGGGGCCTCCTACCAGTGCGACATGCCCAAAACACCTCCAATGGGAGGTGCCCAGGAGGCATCCTGATCAGATGCCCTAATCACCTCACTGACCACTTTCAACACAAAGGAGCAGCGGCTCTACTCCGAGCTCCCTCCGGATGTCCGAGCTCCTCACCCTATCTGTAAGGCTGAGCCCAGCCACTCTTCTTTCTGCCACTTGTATCCACGACCTCATTTTTAAGATCATTACCCATAGCTCATAACCAGAGGTGCGGGCTGGGACATAGATAGACCAATGAATCGAAAGCTTTGCTTTCCGACTCAGCTCTCTACACCACACTGGTCTGGCACAGCACCCATCTCACTGCAGACGTCACGTCAGACTGCCAATCCATCTTTTATTGAATTGATTACTATAAATTGTTTGAGTAGTTTAAATTGTTAACCACACCTGTCATGATAAAGCTTGTCAACCTGTTGGTCTGCATTAAGTATAACATGGGTGTAATTTCCACTTGTCAAACTGACTGAAGTAGACGAAGTTCCAAGTAGGACTGAAACTAAATGTCTATTAAACTTTTGTTGCATGGAGTACGTGTGCAGGCGTTGCTTTTTCTTTGTTTATGCTATTGTAGCCTTTCATCTACATGATGTGCATATAATTACTCTCCTTCAAAAGAAGGTTCAGGATTGACAATAGAACGTCAAACACAAGGCGAGATGACTGATGCAAAGTTGATTTGAGGACAAGGGTGAGAAAAACATGTATTCCACAGATTCAGACTGATTTGTCTTTTCAGAGATAATAAAGACTAATTTTGGGTTAAAAATCAACCCTAGTTCAGTTTTCAACCCCAGAGTGCTCTTGACTTTTTGACTTAATCTCACAGAGAGTAGAATGACATCCCAGAAATGAGACATTGCCTGAGAACTAAATAAGCAGATGTCCAAGGGGATTAGAATATGAAAGAAATATATTAAAGGCATTAAAAAATCTCATTTCATAAAAGCTAAAGTGCGAGCTGATTTAAAAAAAAGAAAGAAGGAGAAAGAAAGAAAACTTCACTTACTTGCAGAGGGTGTTTCAGCATGGACAGGAGGTGTTGAAGGGATGAAGGAGGGGAAGAAGAAGGATCGCAGAGATCGTTCGGTGTGGAGGGGCGAGCGCTGCGTGGGCAGATTCTCACAGCTGCCCACGCTGCTGTGGATCTTAAGGTTCAAGGGCTTGGTCTTCTTCTTGGCTCTGAGGGAAACAAAACAAGAAAAACAATTAGATTGACAGATATGGGATGAACACAAACATTTTATCAAGACAGAGGAAAACTAATTTAAGTGGTGGTAATGTGTGGCTGTGTAGTTAAATGTGAAAATGGATTCTTAACTAACACACTAAAACACAACCTCACAATCTATTCCTTTATTTGTTTTAAAGGGCGAAATTCAAGCTAAGACTAAGACCATCTTGCAATGGCGTTACTTCAGCCAAGTGACAGTGATGCGACTTAAAATGAATGTGGGTCAGGGGCATAAAGTGGCCCCTTACATGCTTCCTACCCCCATACTTCTGACGTCCCTTGTTAGACCACACACATCTTTGAACTTGGCCTTTACTTTGATCTCAACTACACGGCTATTAAGTTTCATGACTGCATCTTACACAGACATGATGCAATCGTGGTGACAATATCTGTCCACAGACAGACAGACAGACATATGGCATAGTACTGAAAATCCCTTCTGTGGTAGTTCGCGCTACAGTAGGTGTCTCCATGACCACATTTTCCCATGATGACATACACACACACATAAATTCACAAGGTGAAAACAATACGAGCTGCACTGCATTGTCACGTCTGGTAATAAAGCACAAAAGTGTCAGATTCATTCTTTATCGTCCCCTATAGAGGACATTTGCTTTCACAGTCTGTACAATCAAACACTCAGAACAGGTAACACACAGGATATAAACAGACAAGAACATCACAACAACACAGCACAAGTCCATTACAGTGACCCCAGGTTTATTTAAAGCAGTGATGGCTGAGGGCACAAATACTCCTTCGAAAGCGAGATTTCTTGCAGGGTGATTTCTTGTCTGTATCTGCAGCCAGAGGGGACGAGGATGAAGCATGGGCTGAGGGGTGGCAGGGTCCGTGTGCTATGGTCAGTGTTCTTCAAGTGGTGGCAGTGTCCATGAAGGCTGATCATTTTGTGTGAGAGTTTTTGTGTAGCCATGCTGGTGGCAATGTTGGTTGGCCGGTCAGTCAATCGGAGTCAATGACATTTGGTGCAGACGTTCATGGTCCCCAGCAGGTGAGTCCCAATGAGTTTGATGATCTCCAGACTTTTTCTCTAGCACCACCATGACATTTTGGGGCTTTGAGTGAACTACCTCAATAACTATTTGATTGATTGCCATGAAATTTGTAACAGAGACTTTGGTTTATCATCAAATTCCTGCAAAAAAACCCTAATTGTTATAATTAAGTTAAATAAGGCACTTTCTTCATAATGAAGTACTGGTCTCGTCTCGGGCGGCAAGTTTTGATACCTTTGCTGTGAATTTGAAGCTTCCAGTCAACAGTTGTTGTTAGCAGCTAGCATAAACCATTACATGTAAGGATTTACTGGCTGTAAGCGGAAAACAAACTAACAGCTCTCCAGTTCATATATGAATGATATTTACGAATCGCACTGGTGCTCCATGGTTGCAAAATGTGAATAAATGGTCACTTTCTGGAGCCTTGCAAATACAGAAACACACAAAAATACGTCACCCGCTTACGCACAATCACCCAGGACAAAGTGGTCTGGATGGGCGGGGAGTGTGTGTGGCTTTTCATATTTGTGAGTCTTGTTTTTGCATCAGTGAGAGGGAGAGAGGGAGGGAATTAAAATGCCACAGCAAGTCTTGTGGCTTAATAAAATGTATTCGATGTTCCCGATATAGTCATTTTAGAAATCCCACATGGAAAAAGCTGCGATACATCAACTATAATCAATATATGGTCAAACCCTACTTGTTACGATTAGCTTTTAGCTCAAAGCACCTCTATGTCTAAGCTCACAGAACCTCATGGCTGTAGGCTCTTTGTCTTGTTTACAGTTTGTCCTAAGATGCTAAAATGTAGACAACAGTCAGAAAATGTGGCTCTGTATTTCTGGGGCATTCATGAGTCCTCTTTAGCTTTGGTGATTTTCTAGAGTTGTCATCAAAACAATATAAAGTATTTCTACTACTTCAGCAACCTATTATCTGTCCTTTTCTTTTCTTTAGTTCCAGACAAAATCAAGATGCAAAGACCTCCTCTTGGCCCTGTTTTCAGGCTTTAACAAATGTAGCCTGTGACGAGAGACTTTTGCCAATAACACATAATTTCAGACAGAGGGTGTTCTACTGGCCGTTCTGCAAATATAGATGCACGTAGTTCCAGACAAAATCAAGATGCAAAGAATTCAGCCAGGATCACGAAGGAGGAATAGCAATCTCTCCACCCACAATAGTCACATAGACATAGACCATAATGCAATGCAGCTGCAAGGCATGTTGCATTTTGAGTAAGTGGTCTGACTCTTTTTATGAAAAAACTCGCAGACACACCTACACAGACTGTACACAACCCCACAGCTTAATGCTTAAAGTTCACAGCAGCTCATGGAGGGGCATGAAAGTCACTCTGGTGGACGAAGCAGGGCGAGAGGAAGCGAGAAAGGTCCACCACAAAATTCAATTACAGTAATATAATTTCAAAATAACTCCAGGAATGCACTGAGCACAAATTTTAAGATTATGGTGTTTATTTTGACTCCACAAATCTCTGATTTAAGCCACTTTACCAAACTGTCCAATAAACACATAACTTCTGAATCGGTATGCACAAGTTTAGTTAACTTGTAACTTTGCACTCTGGACCTCAACAAGACTAACTACAAAACCAGTACGGTATCACACTTGTGACAGAAAACAGAAACAGAAAACAAACTGTACATGTGACAACACCCTAAACCACAGTAAAGGTAATTACGGTAACAACATAATTATGGGATTAAGTCATATTACCGCATATAAGAGTGGGTATTATGTTCATAAAATGACAACAAAGCTCCTGGCATCAGGCCAGAAAGGAAACAAACTGCTAACAGGATGAGAAAAGCATGCAGGAACAGAAGATTACATGTGACAACACAGACAAAAGAAAAGGTAATACATTTTAAATGCAAAGTCACCAGTCATATGATACATTCGATACATGAGGCGTGTGCACCTCCTCTTGGCCCTGTTTTCAGGCTTTAACAAATGTAGCCTGTGACGAGAGACTTTTGCCAATAACACATAATTTCAGACAGAGGGTGTTCCTGCAAATATAGATGCACGTAAATGCCCTAATGGTGGACACCTGATTCAGTGGTGGCAAAAACTGCCTACACCACAAAGCAACCCAACAAAGCAAGACGGACTCATCAAAAATAGTCTAACAGAGAGTCTGACAATGTCAATGTCTGTATAAATGAAGCGTTTCAGAGATGGAGAGAAAATGTTGCTTATAGTTTAGCCTTCTGCTAACCCGAGCCCTCTGCTTTAGCTTTGCTGCTTTAGCCATACCTAAAGGCTCATTAACTTAACTTATGTCAGCTAGAGCCTCGAATCACAGTGTGTCCTCTGTGTTACCGGCTCACCCTCTTTCCCCTTTAAAGGTACTGCCTTGTGGGTAACCTGTGAGGGTGTGACATGTACTTCATTGTGCGTAGGGAGGGGAGCAGCTCTCTCAGGGTGTCATGGTGAAGACGGCAAGCAGCATAGACTGATGATAGTGATAGAATTAAATGTCTAGACAAGCTCAGGGCTACTGTTCAACCTCACGAGAAAGCCATGTTTCTTTTTTTGTGGTGAAGACTGCAATGAAGCCATTGTTTCTGAATGGCACCCGAACACCTCGCCATCCTTCCTTCTGCAGAGTGGTCTGGACCACTAGTAGCTAGTTACCAGCTAATAATGTGCCAAGCTAAAGTTGATGTTAATAAGCAGCGTGTTCCCAACTACGGTTCGGAGCCTGTAAGCTGTCACTGAGAGAGAAGTAACATCTGCCTTGTCCCCGCCGCTACAGATCGCCTCACCAGGAGGAGAGTGGGCAGCTGCTCTGGAGACAAACACCCAATTGGTGGCCAAAGCAACACAAATGCAGCCAGTGCAAACCCTAGCTATAGGGGACCAAACAGCCAAGACTCCTACTGTTACAGAGCATTCGCATCATTACAGCTACTGACCACAACTCTATTTGCGGAGCTTTCCTTGCATCAAAGCAGTTCCCAGCGGTGGAGAGTGAGGCGGAGGGACTGTTGGGTGGTTAGCAACAAATTATGGTTTCATTTGTGGTCTGATATACAGAGAGAGAGCTCAACAAATAAATTCATGTATGGGAAACACTCAGTTACTGTATGAAGTTCATGCATATGCCCATGGTCATCTGGTGGGAGGGGCTTAGGATGTACAAAATAACATGGCAATCCATCTACTATTTGTTGAAACTGACAGAGGAGAATCTATTAAATAGTTGCTTAGTAATAGTTATAGTTTTCATGAATTTCATAATAATCACACAGTTATCTTACTTATTTGAAAACACCAAATACAAAGACAGCTTGAGTCATATTCTGCACTTGTAATATATTCCTGCCAGGTTTAAATGAAAGATGTGTTCCCCACCTGCCCACCTTCCCCACCTAAGCTTAACTGGGCAATTCTTCAGAGAGAGAAGCCCAGGTTTTCAGATTGCCAGCTATTCATTTTTGTAGGTATTATTAGGTGTCATGGTACTTTCATGCGGCCTACAGATATGAAACCTGTTCAACCATCTGGGGAACATAGAGACCTTTCACAGGAATTTGAAAGTTAAACCCTGTGACTAGAGTGATGTAATGAATTGGCTCCATGAGGCTGAGATGAGGTGTTACCACATACCAGCCAACAGCTGTCTCTGAGATTACATTCCTACTTTAGGCAGACGCTTGTTAATTACTCAGAAAACATCTTTTTAAATGAGTAGCTCATACCCAATTGATAGTCACCAACAATTTCCTATAATCACCTGTTTCTGTTTGTCAGCATGCTTCCGTCATTGCATGCTACCTACCTATCATTTCAGAAAGAAGTTTTGTATAATTGTCAGCTTGTCATACAATTTGTTCTTGCAAAACTTCTATGTATTTAAGCTGTCACCTGTAAGTACATAGATCCACACGTGG